TATTAGCTGAGTTATGGCCAAATCTTGTGGGAGAGTCAGGAAAAGCTATGTGCAGATTTAAGATATTGGCAAAATTAAAAAGATGCTTGCCTCTGTTTGAGTTTACATTGCAATTCCAAGCGCTATGAGTAGCATTGAAATCGCCGAAGACGACACAATGACTACTCGTTTGGAGAAAATATTCTAAATCTATTGTAAATAAGTTATCGTCAGAGGAAGGGGGAATGTAAACAGAGACAATAGAAACGGGGTCATGGTCGAGGGGAGTTAGAATAATGTTAGTCGCTTCAATAGCTTGCATAGGTGGGGTGGGGAGACAGTAATGTTTAAGAGATTTTTGATAAGAATAAGAGTTCCGCCGGCGGCCGTTGCGTTAGTGATCCTATCATTTCTGTAGCAAGTGTAATTTGCTATTGTAAAAGTGTGCGAAGGTCTCAGATGAGTTTCCTGTATGAGAAAAATATCGGGAGAGTGCTTCTCTATAAAAATTCGTAGCTCTACTCTACGTCTAAGCAGTCCGTTTGCGTTCCAAGAACACAAATTGAGGCCAATGGGGGACTTAACCATTATTATTGTTACAAGAGGCCTCTAATAAGGCGTACATTTGATTTGGGTTATTGTTTGCTCTTTGCACTTGGTTAAAGTTATTCATGAAATTAGGATTTGAAGTAGCTATGGCTTGGGTAAATTGAGAAAGTTGGCACAAACATTGCATAGTCATTTGTAGGGTCGCTTGCAAGTTAAAATTATTATTATTAAAAATATTTCCGTTAAAGTTATATCCGTTAAAGTTATTATTAGACTTGTTATTAAAATTTGGAATGGATCTGTTATTTGCAGAGGGATTTCTATTGGCCTCAATTTGAGCAGAATTCACAGGTCCTTTTGGTGCCATCGGTTGTTTATTTTGGGAGTTAAAGTTGGTTGAAATTTTATTTGGATTTGCGGCTTGAGCATAGGATACATTGGGTCTTATAATACTATTGTATATATTAGTATACGAATTACGATTATTCAGGGCAGTGCCCTTAGGGGGCTTTGGGAAACAGGGGCATCCTCTCCAGTTAGCCATGTGGCCGTACATTTCGCAGTTGATACAGTAGGCAGTTTCTAGCCTTTCGGTTATTGGGCATTCACGGGTAATATGTCCCTCACCACATTTTAAGCAGCGGGGGTTTAGATGACAGTTCTCTGAATTATGATGGAAGTGGTTACACGTGTAGCATTGCGTGACACCTTTTCCGTTGTAACCTTCCACACGAATGCTTAAGTAACTTAGGGTTTTTAAGTGGAAGATTTTTAAATTCTCAATACTTCTTGGGAGAGTCACCAGAAATACCGGGATAGGTTGTTTACTACGGCGGCCTATTAGCTGATTTACTTTTTCAGGGGTAAAGCCTAGTTCTTCTAAGTCGGCTTGAATTTCTTCGACCTTGAAGTTGCGGGGCAGTCCTTTCAGTACAACCTTGATGGGGCGCTCGTTTTTGGGTTTAATTTCATAAAATTGGAATTTAGTTTTTTCAGCAAAAGTTAACAGTTCATGAAATTGTTCTAAGTTATCGGTATAAAGTTTAATAAATTCTCCGGTTGTACGGGATCTTATCTTAGGGAACTTTTCATTAATAATTTTCATTTGACTTCTGACAGTTTCAGTGATTCTAAGCATGACTGGAGGGGGAAGCGTACTAACGGGGTTTTGATTGCCGGAAGGGGTAGGGCCAGTGGCCGATGGGGGTTTGGGAGTAACAACGGGAATAGCGTTTTGAGAACCTGTGATTTCTTCAATATTGCTATCACTAGGTAAGGAAAATCTATTTGGGGAAATCGAAATGCTATCATTTGGAATATTTAAAATTTGCTTTTTATTTGTCTTCCTTAGAGGAGGATATTCAAAGTCCGATTCTTCTTTTCGTTTATTGGAAATCCTGTTACTATTAAGGTTTAATACTCTTTTAGTAGGAGTTACATCTGGGGAGTTTTTAGGCGTAATAATTTTCAATCCTGAATCATGATGAGGGCAGCCAGGGGAAACACAAGGAGGAAATGAGGCTAAATCACTTACCGCCAAGTTAATTGTTTCTTCAACTTCTTGAAGCTCCGAAACGGCACGTCTGTAGAAAGGCTCATCCGGGTGGTGATCGGGCATGGCTTGAAGTTCAGCGATGCAGGCCAGCTTGAACTTTTTGAAAGTCTCCATCTTTTGCAGCTGGGCTTTGTTTTGTAAAATCTGCTCACATGCCGAAAGAGGTGGAGGAGTTGGTGTTCGTCTGGGCGAGTCGATTAAGTCCATATCCGTGGGTTCGTTTCGATTATCCATTTCCATTTGTTATCAGGTCAAAAAATAGGGGAGAATTACAGTGCCTGCTCAAGCAGGTTAGCCCTGACAAGGGCTGTAGATAATAGATGCACTATCAATATGGGGAGGGGAAAATAACAAGATACTGCCGAAGCAATATGCCACGTGGCGGTCGGTCGTAGTAGCAGAGGGAGAGCGTTTGCAGTTCAACCTCACTGGTCAGCGTCCGAGCTAGCAATCACCATCTGGGCTTGCCCATCCCCCTTAGTCTTAATTTTCTATTTGAGAGACTTGAACAGCCTATGAGAGTCGATTTCATCACCCGCCATACACCAATAAGAGAGCTTCCTTTCAGCTCTCCGCCATGAACTCAGAAATCCGCACAACCCAGGAAATAACTCTAACAATTGGCTCGACCAATCAGCTGCTTCCTACATGCTAGCAGGATAAAACCCACAGTCGTTCCACATATATTTTTCGGATATGGGATGGAGGCTCGCTTCGCGAGCCATATGCCCAGAATTGTCACCGTAGTACTCCGTGTGTACTCGGAGGGTGTTTGGTGAACCCAGGCCTTCCGGTCTGGAGTCCGATGCTCTAACCACTAGGCTACCCACGGCCCCGCTACTATATGTACACTATATGTACATGTATTCTGTATTGAAGTATAAAAATTTTTGAGCCATATTGTACGAAAGTTTTTTTTTAAAGTGTACCAAAAGGCAAAAAATTATGCTTAGGAGAAAAAGTGAAAAAGCTTGTAGTAATATTTTCATAAACTACACACTTGAATAATATTTTACTGCCTATTTTTGTGTACCTAATAATAATAATTTAATCATTCTGTAGAGTTACAAAAATAGTTTTAAATTTAAAAATTTTTATTTTCTTTATTATAACTGATCATGAACATTATTTTGTCAAACATATTTCATTTAGGTACCATTTTTTATAAAAGTATTTCTTAATTATACAAATATTTTACACAAATATATAAAACGGACAAAACATAGCTAAATAGTTTTTTTATGAAATATAATTGCAAATTTCTCAGAAAAAAAAACAAACTTTAAAAGTTTTGAAAATCTCGATTTATTTCTTTTTTCTCTTGTAAAACTACTTCTTTTTTTTAAAAAAAAGTTAGACATTAAAAAGAGAAAAACATTATTGTTTCTTTGAAATAAAAACAAATTAATGTTTTACGTACATCAAACACAAGAGGAACTACTTTTTAAAATGTGTTAAAAGAGGCGTGGTCGTTTGCTTACATTTTTATCAATTTTATTTTTCATATTTTAGGGTTATTATGTCAACAAATATATAAGTGTTACACATTTTTGGATTCAGAAAAAATATGCACTATTTTTTAAGAATAGAATTAAGAAATATTTTTTTGAATGTGTATGATGTCCTGGTGTACTCTTAAAGAAAATTATTCGAATGAAACTTTAGCTAGAGAATTATATTGCATATACAGTGCACCCACAAAAGTCCGTTGAACCCTAATAATTTATGAACCACAAGAGCTATAGTCATAGAAAAAGGGTCTTGTAAAGTTGATATGCAATACTCATAGAAACTACGTACAGAACTCCCAAGCGAATATATTTGGAGTTAGCGTTCTTGTTTAAGAAAAGTACTAGATACATAAAAAAAATAAATTACAAAGTTGTTCAGCATTATGGATTTAGTAAAAACAAATAATATAAAATAAGAAATTTTATGTCAATTCCTACTTAGGCCAACAAAGAAAAATTATATTTTAGTTACTTTTTATTAAATAGTTACAATTAATATAAAATACGTAAGACAGAATCACGCTATTAAGGTATCCGACTAGGGGTTCGGAGATAAATTTTTCAAAAATTGATTTTTAGAATAAGTTTATTGTTTTAAAGAACATAAATAGACTTAAAAAGTCATAATTATTAAATAACTAACATGTATATATATCACCCTTTCTTTTGAAAAAAAAATATTTTTAGGAAAATTTAGCAAAATTTTTAAAGTTAAGAAAAGCGTGATAAAAATAAAAATAAATTGCACATTATGCAATTTTAACGTCATTGATATACTTCTTGATCCCTCTGAAGTGTCATAAACCGCAGGATAAAAAATGTTTTAAGAAATAAATATTTTATTTGCGTTTAAATTTGATAGTCATGATTTTTTAGTCAAAATTACTGCATGTTCTAAGCTAAAAATAGCTGTAAAATGTGATTAAATGTAGCTGTCTTAAAACCTGCGGTTTTTTACACTCTGAAGGGCCCATAGCAAATATGTTATAAATTTCATTGCATTTGACTAGATTATTTAGAAGATATCCCGTTTTTCGTGCACAAATTATCATAAACTGTTTATTCTTAAAAAAACGAATTAAAAAAAACTATTTTTATTAGTTAGAGATAAAGTAAATGCTATAAAAAGAACTTAAAAAACTCTCTAGTTTTATGTATTAGTCCTTCTTCCTCAATAATTAATTTCTGTTTTCCAAATGACCCAAACACCTAAAAAGCACTTTTTCAACCTAGTTGGATACCTTATAAGTGGCAAAATAGAAAGTGATTTTCCATGCAATTTTCCAGTTTCCTGTCTATATATGGTGTTGGACTATTTTGTTTGTTTATTACTATGTATTCATCCATTAAATTTAATTATTCTAATAAAATAGTATAGAAAAGAAATCTCATTCTCAGAAATTAGGCATCCCAAGTGGGATTCGAGCCCATGACCTATGGATTAGAAGTCCAACGCGCTATCCATCGCGCTTCAGGATAGTGATTTTTTTTCTATATATACTGCTGGATTATTATTTTTGTTTGGTACTATTTATTCCTTTTTAAATTTAATTAATGAATTAATATTTGATAAAACTTTATTAACATCAGGCGTCAACCACCAAAAGTTTTAAAAATGTAGAACTTGAACGGATGAATAGAAAGTATTTTAGTAACGATTGAAAATTTGAACAAGATATATGTATATGTAACTAATATAAAGGGTGTTTTTTTGAGAGGTATAGAACTTTAAATTGCAATAAAACAACGATGTATTATTCGATTGACATGAATTTTTTTATTCGAAAGATAATCTTGTGGCATTACATTTTAAATATGATTTCTGGCATAGGACTGCCACGGCTGGCTCGGATGTAGTCCAATCTGGACGTCCAATTTTCGATGACTTTTTCCAACATTTGTGGCCGTATATCGGCAATAACACGGCGAATGTTGTCTTCCAAATGGTCAAGCGTTTGTGGCTTATCCGCATAGACCAATGACTTTACATAGCCCCACAAAAAATAGTCTAGTGGTGTTAAATCACAAGATCTTGGAGGCCAATTCACAAGTCCAAAACGTGAAATTAGGCGGTCACCAAACGTGTCTTTCAATAAATCGATTGTGGCACGAGCTGTGTGACATGCTGCGCCGTCTTGTTGGAACCACAGCTCCTGGACATCATGATTGTTCAATTCAGGAATGAAAAAGTTAGTAATCATGGCTCTATACCGATCACCATTGACTGTAACGTTGTGGCCTTCATCGTTTTTGAAGAAGGATTCCACCAGCCCATAAAGCGCACCAAACAGTCAGTTTTTCTGGATGTAACGGTGTTTCGACATACACTCGTGGATTAGCTTCACTCCAAATGCGGCAGTTTTGTTTGTTGACGTAGCCATTCAACCAGAAGTGCGCTTCATCGCTAAACAAAATTCGCTTATGAAAATCGACCATTATTTTCGAAATAAAATTGCACAATTTGAAAGCGTTGTTCAGGCGTGAGTCTATTCATGATGAATTGCCAAACCAAACTGAGAATAAATCACTTGACAGCTGTTAAAAATCGGTCGCCATCTTGGAAAGTAATGTCAACTTAAACTTCTATACCTGAAAAAAAACCACTCTGTATAAATAAATATGTATAGGGAGAGAGAGTAAGCTAATAGTAGGAATTCAATAAAAGACTTAAAATAGAGATTTAATTAGTTCTTAACTCCCAAAATTAAAACGCGACATAACGCAAAAGAAAAGAGAAAAGGCCACACTCGTGAGCATCTATGATACCCGACATCATATGGACGTATGAGGCATGCTTTGCGAGTAATACTATATACAATAAATAGAATATCTATTGCTGGTTACTGAATAATTCTAAATGTGCTGTTTAAGTTTGACATCAACATCACTGGTAAATAAATGTCTAGTGCGGAATATTCAAAACAGACCGGTTTGTCCGGTATTTTACCAGGGCACGTTAACGAGATTGTCATTACTGAAAACCGTACAAAACGCTTTTTTAGAGGATTTGCTGTTGAGTGACCTCCTGAATGTATGGTTCCAATACAATGGCACCTCGCCACACAGTACATTCGAGATACATTCCAGCAACAAGCCATCTTGTATAGTAGTTGCATTGAATGTATTACCATACCTGTATGGCCACCTGATTTGAACCCATTGGACTTTTTTCTGTAGGGATACATCAAACAAAGAGCTTATGCAACCCCTCCATCAACACTGCTGCAACTTCGATACCGTATTACGGATGCTTGTGCCAGCGTGTCACGTGTCATGTTGAAGAAAATGTTGCGATAAATGAAAAACTCGTGTCCAGTGAGTGAGTGAGTGAATATTAACGTCGCATTGCTCTACTACACGAGGGCTTTTGGTGACGGACCACGTAATTTTGAACCATGGTCAAGTGACGTGAACGACATTTGAGCTGGCACCCCCTCACCTAACTATCACACCACACCAATGGGAGGACGTTTGAGCTCTCGACATATTTAACGTGCATCGCTTCCCTACACGGTGGGCTTTTAGTGGTACTGGGCTCAAACTCGTGACAAGGCCAGCCACGATCCAATACCTTGACCAGTCGGCTACCACGGCTACACTCGTGTCCAGATGTCTTGCTAAAGGACACCATTTTGAGCATGACAAACAGATGAGCCTCATTTCCGGAAAGAGCAGTTTTGTTCAACGCGATCAAACACGCATGTGTTTTGTGCTTTTCGTTTGTATTGAAGGAAGGAAGGTTCATTCTGGGTACCTTCCGTTCCAACGAATGCGAGTACTTCACCGATCACGCCAACACGATCGTCTTCGCGTGATGTTGGTACTAGTTCATATAGATATCACACCGCCACATACTCCCCTGCCAATGTTTCAGCGAATACGCGAAGGAACGATACCATTTTCATGGCGAGCATGTAAGCAGTTGCGTCACTTGGTGGGTTGCGTCATTCGAGCGAGACGGCTTGAGAATTGCGGAATTATTGTGACGGTTTTAATTGCTTCATTTGTGTAAGACGACTTTGAGAAGTAGCGGCTTATTTGACTCAATGTTTGACGGTTTAATTACGTCAATGTTTGACCGTCTCTTTTGCGGTGGATAGAGGGCGCCACGACAGTGGCGCGAGAAGGGTGTGGTTCTTTTGCACGTCCGGATCACCAATGAAGGAAGGAAGGTTCGTTCTGGGTACCTTCTGTTCCGAACGAATGCGAGTACTTTACCGATCATGCCAAGATGATCGTCTTCGCGTGATGTTGGTACTAGTTCATATAGATATCACACCGCCACAGTATCATTTTTGTGTGCAAGTTTTTTTTCTTGTAATAAATCGATGCTGTTGAGAAACTGTAGTTGATTTTTTTTTCATGCATCTTGTACTGTTTTTGAGATAAGAACTTTTTCAAATTTATCCTTCTGGGGTTGTTGTAAGCACTTTCTTTTTGTAGAGCAGGGGTGGGCAAACCTTTCCAGGGTACGGGCTACTTCTAATTTTTTCAAGGTGTTGTGGTTCACCCAGCGACATAGGTGTGGTGAGGTAAGAAAAAGGTCTACAATTTTTTTTATTATAACTTAATAATAAATACGGAATATGTACTTTATATAACTAAAATAAAATAAACTTACACTTTTAAGACCGCGTTTAACCCTTTATCTACCGACGGTACTTATAAGTACCACTCAGTTTAAAATTACATAGGAAAACCATTTTTACGATTACTTTGACGATACTCAGCAGTAATATTCTTTTAAATCCACTCTTCCAAGATATATGGCAGAACGGGTTCTATGATGATTCTTTTAGTGGGGAAGGCGAATAGTTTTATAGCAGAAATTGCGTTTTCAGTGCATTGCGAAGATTGTCATTTTTGTTCCAAAGAAATAGTTAATGTCAAAAGGTAAGTGTCTTATTTTTTTGTATGTTAATGAAGACAATTTGACTTTTTATTTTAAGTGAACAGTGTGCATAATTAATTTTACAGTTGAATATCTTCAAATAATTAATTAGCTCTAACTAATTAAATTTCCCAAAAAGGAGTATTTTGTTTATGTATATCCCTTAATTTTCAATGTAGTGATTCAAAAAAAAATATTTCATGAAAAAAACTGCAGTTAATCATAATGTGATAGATAAAACGTAATAACTATAGCCAGAAAAAATATTTAATGATGCATTTGTCTGGAAACAATTCAAAATACATTAAAAAATAAAACATTTTATACTAAGTTAAGTGCTTCTACTTATAACCAGTAGAAGACTCAGTCTGAATATTTCGGTATATATTTACTAACTGCTTCAGGCAGTCACCCTAAAATGTCTTGGAGGGCCACCGATCGACCGCGATCGACTTAATGCTTACCCCTGGTGTAGAGCTTGGCAACTTTACTACACCTAGACCCCACTTTTATGACTATAGCTCTCTTATAGTTATTACTATAATATATTAGTTCATAAATTATAGGTGTGACAACGGGTTTTTACAGGCACACTGTGCATACACACATATAAGTATGTAATTCTAAATCTGAAAATTTAAAAACCACTCAATAAATTTTAAAAATGTCTTTTCATCATATTTTCTCAGTTACAAACAATACAGAAAGAAAGTTATGAATTATAAGTGAAAATATCCATTAATTCAATGGATCATCCTTCACATTTCTCTCGATCAGAGAAATTAAACAATTATTCTTTTTTACTACGAGATTATACATTTTTTCTCCAAATTTTTTTTTTATTTTAACAAGTCATGTTAAAAAATAATAAACGCTTTCTTTTTCAGATTATATTATTAAAATGATTTTGAAAAAAACGTCAGTTTGGCAAGACATTACTTTAAAAATGTTGCAAAATTTATGTTTTTGAAAAAGCTGTGTGTGTTTCAAATTCTCATAAAATGTTAAACTTTAAGAACTTGTTAGTTATTTCAAGTGGTTTATATTTCTTGGATTATTGGAAACAAAAGTTAGTACTGTATCACAAAAATCTAGCACTTTGTTGAATTTTAATAATTATTTTTTGTAACAAAACCCGAAACAACCGTGAAAATTAAAAAACAATATATTAAATTTTATATTAGAAAAATAACTAGGCCTCTTAAAACTAAATCCATACACATTTTTGTAATATACATATGATATTACCTAAAAATTTTCAAGACGATATCTTGAACAAAAAAAAATAACAAGTTCTTGGAGCAGTAAACACTTACATCAACAAAGATAAAAAAAGCCTGAGATAAACACTTTTTTAAAGCTTACAAAGGCATTGGGTTTTAAAGTGATAACCCACAGAAAAATCTTCAAAATCTTTAAAACATTTGATCTAGAGTTTGTCGCTAAGCTTCTTAAGTTACCTTGGAAAAAAATGTTTTAAAAATGATTTTTTCTCATTTTCAAGGTAATTTGTAGCCGTAAAAGCATCTAAAATTTACTTTATATATATATAAACTGTATTTTCAAAACTTTAATTAATTATTTAAC